AAGTTTTCAAGGCCACTCTAGTCAACGTGGCTCGTATAGTGGTTTTCGTGGTTCCTGCGGTGGTCATTCTTCTCATGGTTCTCATCATGGTGGTGGGTGTGGAAATGGTTCTGCGTCCCATAGTGATTGGAAGTGTACCCACGGTGGTTCCTTGGGTCATTTTGAGCCTTGGTGTTGGCAGAAGTATGGTAAACCTGATCATGTGAATCAGGTTATGGATTCTCCATCCTCCCAGTCGACACATTTTCCCTCAGGCACAATTGCTTTCCCAACTAATTCTCATGACGCACTCACTACTCAAATTAGCGAGCTTACTGAGCTAGTCCTCTTCATACTACTAACCCTTTATCCTCCACAGCTACAATGGCTGGTTCAAGTAAACTTGCCTATGTGGCTCAATCTCCCCAATCTTGGCTCATAGACTCTGGTGCTCGTTCCCATATCTCCAGTAATTCATCTCTTTTCCATACTCTTCATCCTGTTACACACAATATTATACTAGCTGATGAATCCTTCCTTCCTATTAGTGGCAAGGGTATTCTTTAGCCTACTCCGTCTCTCTTCTTACCCTGTAGTCTTTATGTTCCTACTTTTCCATTTAATTTACTTTCTGTTAGTCAATTGACTAAAGCTCTTCACTGTTCCATAACCTTTTCTCCCACTACGTGTGTTTTGCAAGACCGACCTCCAGACCAAGAGGATGATTGGTTCGGGGCATGAGAAGGATGACTTATATTTTCTTGACACTGATAGCCCGTCTTGTTCTACTTCTGCTGTTTTGAGTGCTACAATGTCTCCTCTGCAATGGCATTTTTGCTTGGGTCATCCGTCTTTAGCCAAGTTGAAATTAGCCATTCTTAGCTTGAGTCATGTGTTTAACCTTGAGTGTGATGCTTGTCAGCTTGGCAAGCACCACCGTAGTTCATTTCCTAGTCATAGTGTTAGTCGTGTGTCCGCGTCTTTTGATGTAGTCCATACAGACATATGGGGTCCATCTCGAACTCCCACTGTTAATAACTTTCTTTAATTTGTTATTTTTGTAGATGATTACTCTTAGATGACTTGGTTGTTTTTACTAAAGCAGCGGTTTGAATTACCCCAAATAATTTCTAAGTTTTATAATGAAATCTTTACTCAGTTTGGAAAACATATTAAAATATTCTGGTCTGCTAATGCCTTAGAATATATGCCATCTACTGTGGATCTTTGCAGTATTATTCATCAGACTAGTTGTGTTCACACATCACCCCAAAATGGTGTTGCTGAGCGGAAACACCGCCATTTGTTAGATGTTGCTCGTGCATTGTTGTTTAACATGCGTGTTCCTAAACAGTTTTGGGGTGATGTTGTGCTCACTGCTTACTCTCTTATTAATTGCATGCGAGGTTGTGTTACAAAACCAATCTCCCTTCTCTCAGTTATACCCTGATTGTTCCCCGTTTCCTCTTTCTCCTCGTATTTTTGGTTGTGTGGCTTTTGTCCATGTCCTTGATCTGGGCCTGGATAAGTTATCTCCTTGTGCTCATAAGTGTGCGTTTTTAGGTTATTCTCTTACTCAAAGAGGTTATCGGTGTTATCACCCTGAGTCTCGTCGATTCTTTGTCAGTGCTGATGTTACCTTTTTTTAGTCCACCCCGTTTTTTTCTTCGTCTGGGCAGCAATTGTTAGTCGATCTTATATCTTGTCGTGAGGGGGAGCTAGCTCCTCCCACACCTACTTTTCCAGTGCCTTGTGTCTTCTCCTCCTCTATTTCACCCTCCATCAATGTAGATCCCTCTTCTTCACCTCCATCACCTCTTGAAGTTTATCAGCAGTCCCAAAATCGTCGCCTTGTTTCTTATGGCCCGAACAATTCATCTTCTTTGTCAGAAGCTCCTGGCCCTCCTACCGTTTTGGACTCATGATGATCTTCCCATTACTTTACGTTGAGGTAAACGTGCTTGCACCCAACATCCCATTGCCCATTTTGTTTCTTATGATCGTCTTTCCACTAGTCTTCACTCATTTGCTTGTAGCTTTTCTTGTGTTTCCATTCCATCTTCTTATAAGTAAGCTATGTCTATGTCGAGTTGGAAGCATGCTATAGATGAGGAAATGAGTGCTCTTCATCAGAATCAGACTTGGAAACTTACTCCATTGCCTTCTAGGAAACCTAGTGTCAGTTGTTGTTGGATTTATACTATCAAGTATCTTCTTGATGGTACTGTTGAGTGGCTTAATGCCCGCTTGGTGGCCAAAGGCTATAAACAAACTTATGGTATGGATTATCTAGAAACCTTCTCCCCTGTGGCTCGCCTTAATTCTATTCGGATTCTCCTCTCTATTGCCATTAGTCAATCTTGGCCTTTATATCAGCTTCATATAAAGAATGCCTTTCTTCATTGTGATCTCCAAGAGGAGGTCTATATGGATCAGCCGCCTAACTATGTTGTTCCCGGAAGTGAGCATATGGTTTGTCGATTGCGGAAAGCCTTGTATGGTCTCAAACAATCTCCATGTGCTTGGTTTGATTGCTTCAGTGCAGTTGTACTTTCATATGGGTTCCGTTGTTCCATTTCTGATCATTGTGTTTTTGTTCGCCATTCGTATACTGGGAGTATTGCTCTCCTTGTCTATGTGGATGACATCATCATTTCTGACAGTGCCTCCACTGGTATTGCTGAATTTAAAACGGTCTTTAGGTCAGCACTTTCACAACAAGAGCTTGGGTCATCTTCGCTATTTTCTTGGGATTGAGGTTACTCGGCCTTCTCGGGGGTTGTTTCTTTCGCAACGCAAGTATGTGCTTGATCTTCACTCTGAGACTGGCCTCTTAGGATACTCGTCCGAGTGATACTCCCATGGACTCTTGTGTTAAACTGGATGGTGATACTAGGGATTTATTTCCTAATATTGGTCATTATCGTCGTTTAGTTGAGAAATTAATTTATCTTACTGTCACTCTTCCTGATATTACATATGCTGTCAGTGTGGTTAATCAGTTTATGCATGCTCCTCGTAACCCTCATTTTGAAGTTGTTTGTCGTATCTTGCGTTATCTGAAGAGTGCCCCAGGTCGTGGTCTACTCTATCATCTATCTTCCTTGTCTGTCACTGGTTTTAGTAATGCTAATTGGGCTAGCAGTCAAACTGATCGCCGTTCTACCTAGGGCTATTGCACCTTCGTTGGAGGTAATCTTGTTACTTGGCGTAGCAAGAAACAGACAGTTGTTGCTCGTTCGAGTGCCGAGACTGAGTACCGTGCCATGGCCCATACCGCATCTAAGATGTTGTGGGCTCACTCTCTTCTATAGGATTTTGGTATTCTTGTTCCCACTCCTATGACTATGTCTTATGATAATCAGGCTGCTATCTTTATTGCCAATAATCCAGTATTTCATGAACGTACGAAGCATATTGAAATTGATTGTCATTTTATTCACAACCTCTTACTGAGAAAGCAACTTGTGACTCCTTATGTTCGTTCTGAAAATCAATTAGGTAATATCCTCACCAAACCCTTGGCTCAGTCTTCCTTTCGTCGCTTATCTACCAAGGTGGGCATGTTTGATCTCTATGCTCCAGCTTAAGGGGGAGTGTTAGAATAGTCATATGTTATTATGTTATTATTTTGTTAGTTGAGGGTACTATGGTCATATTGTAATATGTCTTCATAGAAATATATACTGCTAGAGTAGGGTTGATTTTCACAACTCTAAACCAATTAGTCAAACCATCTTCTCTTCTCTGTCTCTTCCTCTCTAAGCCTAACCCTAATATTCAACTCTTGTACATTCTAACTACTGTAACCACCAAAAGATGCAATTTAATAGATAAATCAATTATCGACTAATAAGATTAGTTACGTGGCCATTTCAGACTCCATGTTGCTTGATCATTCACCCTTTTTATCTTTTGCATATTCAGAATGTTTATTCTAAAGTTCTTCCCCAGCATGTGCCTCGTTTGGCAAGTAGCTGTTTTAGTTTAAAAGTCAAAAAGTTACTAAAAAAACCAAAAGGCCTATAACCTATACCAAAAAGTCAAAGATTTCCTCTTCTCTCTACTTTTTGCACAGCTTTTCGTGAAAAGCCAAAAAGTCACCCCAAACATACTAATTTTTTTTACCTCATATTTTAGCCAAAAAGTCAAAAAGTTACTAAAATAGTCTGTTCTCAAACGAGGCGTAAATGTAGATAATAGTTGCTCAAATAGGATAGTTGCTCAAAGTTCATCATTCCTGGTCATATTAAAGGTTCAACAGTAATGAAGATCTCAAAATATGGCACATAGATAGCTGAACCAAAAAATTTGTAGCACTAAGTTTTAACAGGTAATGAAGATCACAAAATATGGAACATATACAGGTGAACCAACAAATTTGGAAACTTGAGAATACTAGAACTCTAGTATGCCAAACATAAGTAGGTGCTGCGACAACTTAAAAAGGCATATGTTGAGTTTAGGATTTCAATCTCCACCAACTATGAAGCACAGACATTTCTAAGAACATGGCATATATGTGTCCGTGTCCGTGTCCGTGTCCGTATCCGTGTCCAACTGTCAGACTGACACTTCGCATGCCAAACACTTGTCCAAATGTGTCTTATTATTATTATTTTTCTTTTTTAGACCAGACAGACTTCAGATGTCGGAGATATACTTGTCGATCGCTTAGACACACATGGAACATAATATAAGTTTGAATAAAATAATAACTCTAAGACACAAGGGTAAAAGAAAAACAATTTAGATTCATACCTATTAATCCCTCATCTAAACTTTAAGAATTACTGATACGTAACAATTTTTTTTTTTTTTTAATTATCTTTGAATGCAATATTCATATATATATAACATATAACATATAATAAATATACAAAACTATTTGTTTTATGCATGCCCCCCACATGACATGTCCTGCATTTTTTTTATTGTGCCAATGTGTCCGTGTCTTGTTGCATTTGTGTTTCTTAGCCCACAAATAATGACCCCACAAAAGCATAAATTGCAATGCCTACCTCTTTGCAAATAGGAGGTTGCTTCTTTCCTTTCAATGTTCTTCCCCTTCGGAATGAACCAACCTATCAGAAAAGAGATAATAACAACATTAAGAACTTTATCTTACAAATACTAGGTGACAAAGGCACCAACCACACATACAATTGAAGACAACACTAGAACATATCCACTGGCTCCAGAAGCCTCCAATGCTGCTAACTTTGATGATTTCTCTGCAGGGACATTTGTAAACAGACTGATTTTTTCTGTAGAAGATTTTGGCAGTGGTGATATTGGGGAAGCAGGAACTGATTCAATCATCAATTTATTAGAAATTGGTGGTGGTGTTGCAGGAGAAACAACTGGCATGGGAACTACTGTGGGAGCAATATTACGCTTGAGATGCATTTCAAAGTCTCCAACCTATAGCAATGAATGCTCGGTTAAATAAGAGAAAATTTGAAACAATATACACATTGACACAATCAAAACTTATTAATGATAAGGACAAACAACTATCGTGTTTCAAAGTTGAAAATGGAAGATTCCCACATCATTCACTTAAATGGAGTGTTATCTGCTGGCTCAATCAAACATATAGTAAATCATACCCAGAACTCGTCATTCCTCAATTATCTGACAGCTGTTCATAGCAAGTTCCTGCTTGGATTGCAATATCACTATTTCACTGTAGATCTCTCTAATCAATTAAATGTGCATTTTCCATATCACATCTTATTTTTCATTTATACTTGGCATCATCAACCCTACTCAGGGTATCAGTGGCTGAATAGCTCATCATTATGACTCACATCCAATGGCGGAGTTAGGATTTTGGTTTAGAGGGGTCAATAATAAGATAGAATGTTATGCCTACAATAGTACTCCCTCATCGTGCGTTGGCCCTAATGCAGTAAACCCTCAACCCTAACCACAACACTGACTTGGACAGCAATAGTCACCCCTATAGTAAAATAAGTACTTTATTGAAAGATTTTATCAAATCACAAGTAAGCATTTATATACTTGCATGCATATTTATCAAAAAAAAAAAAAAAACAAAAAAAACAAAACAAAAAGAAATATCAACAAAAATAAATTAGCAAGCATTGTAAAAATAATAATAATATTTAAAATTTAAAAGTAGACTTTACAACATAATAAAGGGAAGGGGCAATTTTTAATAAATTCCTTTTCTGCTACTCAAGTTCCAATCAATCCAAATCATTTTCTTATGTTCCAATAAGTCTCATAGATGACATAGTTACCAAAGTACCCTTGTTTGAATAAGCCTAATCCCAATTTGAGACAACTTAATGTGTCACTCATGGACCTTCACACAGTCAGAAGAACATGAAATCAGTCGGCACATTGTTTTCCGTTTGGATGGAGGTTGCACCTCCTTGTGCTGCTCTTGCAATTAATACAAACAATAATTTTGGTGGTGTATAAATGAGTAGCGATGTGAAACACGCAATGTGTCTTCGTAAAATATTTTAGGTTGTTGATCTTCACATCGTATTAAGAACAATACTTGGCTTTTGATTACTTTTTTTCTTTTGTGCATGTTGTCATTGTGTGTTAATCATGATTTTTTAAATATTCACATCACATGTTCACATCATGAAATCTGTGGACATTTTTCTCGTCATGGTCAAGTGAATATCCTCATTATCTTTTATTTATGTTTTTGTGAATGTTCACATCATGGAATTCGTGGACATTTTCTCGTTATGGTATTTTGAGCATTCATATTGTGTGTTGCCATTGTGAACATTCATATTATGAATGAGAGGTAGGTAACATTCACAATGGCAATTGAGAAAATGTAGACTTTTAATATTGAAATCAAATCTGAACAAATACGAAATTCAATGTGCAAAATCATCTCACATTAATAACTATAATTTCAGTCACACTGTCAAATTTTTTTTTTATTTTTTTATTTTACATAATTACTGAAGTCTTATTTGATAGATCTTGTTAAAAAGGTTTCAATTTTCAAAGATACAAATTTCATCAAAAAAATATATATATATACACACACACATAACAGAAGTTATGAATTTTTAAAATTTAATATACAAAAAGTCAAAAACAGTCCAAATTAATGCATAAGAAGTTGCAAAGAGTTCAAAAAATATCTATAAGGGTAAAATTATCAATAAAAGACCTCAAATATAGGAATTAGGATTTGGTGGATCAAATCTCCAAATTAACAGGACTTATTGGAATAAAAGAATATCTTATGGACTAATTGAGATAAAAGTACTTGAAAGGGGATTTTCCACTAAATTCCCCTAAAGGAAACTTGGTCATTAAATAAACATTTAAAGGGAGAAAATTTCTTCAAAATAAAGAAAAAATAAGAGTATGTATTAAACTTTAGAGGGGGAAATTGAATAACCATTTCATAAACCAATACGAAATTCTAACTGCTAGTCGGAATAGTTTTTGGCCTAATTCTTCTGATGATGATCGATTCAACCGGATCCATGCTTATTTTCAACTCCCCGAAGCATATCTTATGGACTAATTGAGATAAAAGTACTTGAAAGGGGATTTTCCACTAAATTCCCCTAAAGGAAACTTGGTCATTAAATAAACATTTAAAGGGAGAAAATTTCTTCAAAATAAAGAAAAAATAAGAGTATGTATTAAACTTTAGAGGGGGAAATTGAATAACCATTTCATAAACCAATACGAAATTCTAACTGCTAGTCGGAATAGTTTTTGGCCTAATTCTTCTTCTGATGATCGATTCAACCGGATCCTATTTTCAACTCCCCGAAGCATTTCATCGCTTACTACATAAGCCTTTCCTCGTTTGAACCTCGTCCTTCACTTTAAGGCTATGACATGCCAAGGTGCTGCTAGATGGAAGGCTTTTATCAACGTCCATGAATGATAAATCATAGATCGAACTGTCAAATCTGAAAAATTGGGTGCTATCATATAGCTTTGTATCGGCTAAGTTCATGAGTTGGAGATAAGCGAACTTGAACCGCTGACATCCACCGCAGGGTAAACCACCGCCTCTTAGATATAAATTTCATAAAGTTGAGGGGGCAAATGGCCCATGCTCCATCCATCCCTGCTCACATCATCCTCAAGACCCAAGAACATGAGTTACATACTAGTCTACATCTACAACTAATTTCCACTCTCCAACGCATGTATTCAGAATGTTTCATCCACCCACCACACTCAATTCTGAAAAGACAAATTTTAAGGCTTTTCCATGTAGCTTATTGAATCACCAACCAGTATTATATCATATTTAACTTTCAAACAACCACCATCACTTTTTAGAAGACCGCAACTCACTGCATTTCCTAACCAGACCATTACAGAAAGCCAATGATTTTCAAACTTAAATGCAAGCATAAACACTTTAGAGGTTTACCTTCAGTTTCAGCTCAGCAACCTGTGTCTCATCACAGACCTCCAGGACCAAGGCCTGACACAAGAAAACAAAGGTCACTGTTAATGGTTCTAGTGAAAATTAGATAAACAATTACACTTCAAGGTGAAGGAAGAAAGAAGTGTAATACTACCAAATTATGAGCAATAGGAAGGCAAAACTAAATGAGAAAAGCAAACCATACACATGACAAAAAGGACTAGCTATTCCAAGCATGGAAATGCCCCAACCACCTGGTTTTACGTTGAAAATATCTTGAGGTTTCAAACTTGTTAATGCTTGAGATATTTAATGCAATTTTCTGTTTGTGAAAACACAGAATCAAATAAATTCAATCAACAACTAAATCATGAGGATTTATTGGAAAAACACCTCCCTTAATTAACTAATCTAATGTACCAGCATGAATCGAGTGAAGCATTTTATATATGCCTGGGTTAACATTGGGCTTTCAATTTTCAATCTCAATCTGAAAAAACATTGGGTTTTCAACTTTCCTGCAAATCTAAGAATGAATTTGAAAAAAAATAATAATATATATATATATATATTAATTTATATTAGCCCAGGCAGAATCAAGCACACTTCTAATTTTTCACAAAGTAACCTCAACTTTGGCGCGCCTTTCAGCATTACTGGATGCAAAAATATGATCCTAAGAACATCTCCAGCTGTGTAGTAGTATTTAGGAGTACCACAGTTGAAATAGAACAGTGTAGCATAAAACATTTATTCCAATGGTGTAGTATATGTTGTGCTAACATAACACTGAACTATTTTATATTACATCTTTGACTCCTTTTTTTTTGGGCAAATTACAAATAAACCCCCTAAGGTTTGCTTAAAATAGAGATTACACCCTGTAGTTCTAGAAATTACATCCCACCCCTTCAAGTTTCTAATCACATAACAAATAACCCTTTTTATTAATAAATCATCAAATCAATTAACAGTTTTTAATGATATCATAAATATATTTTAATTAACAATTCATGTAATTTTATTGTTGTATAGAGGATACTGGTTTTAAGCTATAGTATAGTGGCAATGGTAAACACACGAATGGGGTAGGAATAATAGTTGCCAAGAGCCTTGTAGAAAATGTAGTTGCGGTTTTTGATTGGATTATGTTAGTTAAACTAATTATTGGAGAGAATATAGTGAACGTTATCAGAGCATATGCCACCCAAGTAGGATTAGATGATCAGACTAAAAGAGTTTTTTGGGACCAAATAGATGAGGTATTACAGGAGATACCCATAAGAGAGAACCTAGTTATAGGTGGTGATTTCAATGGCTATGTAGGAGTAGATAAACTAGGGTATGAGAGGGTGCATGGTGTGTATGGTTTTGGTGATAGAAATGAGGCTGGAGAGAATATTTTAGATTTTGGGTCAATTAGGAGCCAAATAGATTACTTTCTAGTAAGGAAAGGGGACCGTCTAAAATACAGCGACTGTAAAGTGATTCCTGGAGACAGCTTGACGTCTCAACATAGGATTTTTGTACTAAATTTATGCTTTAAAGGGCAATACCAAACTCGGAAAGATAGTGAGTGTCGTAGGACTAGATGGTGGGACCTAAAAGGGGATAAACTAGACACATTTAAGAATAGAATGGATAAAGAAGGTACTTGGGACTTGGAAGATGATGCTAACACTATGTGGAACTCGATTGCCAATTATATGAGGAGAGTCTCAGGAGAAGTTCTGGTAGAGTCGAAAGGAAAGGGACCCAACTTTAAGGAAACTTGGTGGTGGAGGAAAGGGGTCTAAGCGGTAATAAAGACGAAAAAAGAGAGTTTTAAAAAAGTGGCAAAATAATAGAACTAAGGAAAACCTTAAGCGCTACAAATAGGCTAATAAGGAGGTCAAAAAAGTAGTGAGGGTGACTAAATTAAAAGCTTATGATGACCTATACACTAGAGAGGATATACAAACTTGCTAAGATAAGAGAGAGGAAAACAAGAGATTTTAATTAGGTTAAGTGCATCAAGAGTGAGGATTCTAAAGTGTTAGTGAATGGTGAAGAGATTAAGGAAAGGTGAAAGAACTATTTTGAGAAGTTAAATGAGGAACATAGAGGTAGGTCAAAAAAGGAGAAAGTAAACAGTAATAAAGAAAACCATGACTATAGGTTCTATCATCGGATTAGGGATTTTAAAGTGGAGTTTGCACTTAAGAAGATGAAATTAATAAGGCTTTAGGACCCGATGATATACCTATTGAAGTATGGAAATGTTGGGGTAAGAAGAGGGTTGTTTGATTAACTAGGTTATTTAGGAAAATTTTGTTGACTAGGAAAATGTCAGAAGAGTGGAAGAAGAGTATTTTAGTGCCAATATATAAAAATAAAGGAGATGTCCAGAGTTGTAATAACTATAGAGGAATCAAGCTAATGTGTCACACAATGAAAGTGTGGGAGAGAGTGATGGAATGTCGATTGTGAGATATAACAGAGGTTTCAAAGAATCAATTTGGATTTATGCCTGGTAGGTCAACAATAGAAGCAATTTATCTTTTGAGGAGAGTAATAAAAAAATATAGAGAAAAGAAAAAAGATATTCATATGATTTTTATCGATCTTAAGAAAGAATATGATGGAGTGCCTCGTGATATAATTTAATGGGTGCTAGAGAAGAAAAAAGGTGACAAAAGGTTATATTGATGTGATTAGGTATATGTATGAAGGTGTTGTGACCACTATTAGATCGCCTATTGGAGAGACAAGTGAATTTCTAATTTCTGTAGGGTTACATCAAGGATCAACCTTAAGTCCTTATCTTTTTGCTTCAGTTATGGATGAGTTGACGCACAATATTCAGGATGATGTGCCATGGTGTTTGTTTTTTGCAGATGATATCGTGTTAGTGGATGAGACTAGAGAAGGAGTTAACACTAAGTTCGAGATTTGGAAAAAAGTACTTGAATCCAAAACATTTAGGATAAACAGAACTAAGACAGAGTATATGGAATGTAATTTTAGTCACAATAGAAGTAGAGGATAAGTGAAGATTGAGAACCAAGAACTACCTAAGAGTGAACATTTTCGTTATTTAGGATCAATTATCACAACTACTGAGGAGATTGGAGCAGATGTGGTTTACAAAATTAAGGCGGCGGGGTGACTTAAGTGGAGGAGTGCGTTTGGAGTACTGTGCGATAAATGAGTATCCATTAGACTAAAAGGGAAGATCTATAGAATGGCTATTAGACCAACGATATTGTATAGGGCAGAATGTTGGGCAACTAAGAAACAATATGTAGAAAAGATAAGTGTTGCTAATGTAGTGATCCCGATTTCGATCCTTCTTTCATGTTTTGCCACTTCGACTGAGCCGGTCGGGGATCGAGCTGCCCGGTCAGCTCGCGCGGGTCCAGGGGCAACGCCCCTTGGCGAATCCGAGGGCAGCGCCCTAGCGGGGTCGAGGGGTAGCGCCCTCGAAGCAAAAAATGCAAAATTCATTCGAAGTTGCTTGTCCGCTCGAGCGGCCGTTTATGCGCTCAAGCAGAGAATGTTTAGTTTCAGAAGTTTGACATGTCTACAAAAGTACTGGGTTAGTGAATTTGACGCTCGAGCGGGGCTTTCCATGCTCGAGCGGACCGTGTTATATCAGTTCGCAAATCTGATATTTCAGATCACTTTTTCAGTCTTCTCTCTAAAACTCTCCAGAATTTCAGATCGGGAGCTTCTCTCTCTAAAAGTCATCTTCTCTCTTTGATTTCTCCAAATCCATTGGGATTTAGACCTAAGTTCTTCACCAAAGTTGGTTATCATCTCGAGGGCTTCGTTATGTGCGGTGAAGATCGAGTTTCGACACCATTGATTTTGGGAATTTTTTTCTCATTTCTTCTTTAAAACTTGAGGTAGGGATTTACTTAGAGTTATATATATATTTTTGCAAGATTTATATGATTTTCGAAATCATCTTTCGATAGTTTTGAAAATTGATTGTTGATTCAAGAAGTTAAGCGATTTTGAAAGTGGATTTGTCTTTTGTTCTTTTTAAATGATTTTATGGGTTTTGATCTTCGTTGATTTTGGAAAAGATGATTTTGGAAAGTTTTCTTTCAAAAGATTTGAGTTATATAGTTTTAGTGAGAAAACCTAAAATTTGAGAATTTTTTAAAAGAGACAGAAAATCCATGAATGTTATTGTTTTATTTATTTTGTGTGTCAAAATAAATGGATGTTTGGAAAATTTCTTATTTATATTTATATAAATGATGAATTTCAGAGAATACGAGAATTGTTGTTCATTTTGGAAATTATTGTTCAAAATGTTGAAATATTCTTGAAATGACTAATTGTTGAGGATACTTGAGAAGAGGAAATTGTGTTATTCCTTGGATGATAAATTGGAATAAAAGTATTTATATTCGTCTTGTGTTATTGGCATAACAATTCATTTTATTACATTAAACTTTGAAAGTTGATTTGAAAACTTGCATTGAGAAAAGAATGTTGACAAACAAGTTTTCATGAAATAGTTTTGGGGTAAATACGTTGGTAAGTCTTAATAGGTAGTGTAGATGATATTGAATAAGTTGGCCTGAGAGTCCAAGGTGAAAGACCGAAAACCCGCGCGGATAGGTGTCGAGCCTTCCGATTAATACCGGTAAAAATGACAATTTGGCAGTACTTGTATAGTCTATTTGCAGACACCGACCTAGGGATTACCAGAGTCGTATTTACCGCCCTTGAAATAAATTGTTAAGTTTTGAACAATTGAAATTGCATGACATCATTAAGCATGATGGTTTTCAAAAGATGAAAATGTAATTTATCTTCAAAAAAGGGCATAGCATGGCATGTGCATTTCATCTCTTGGGACTTATATAAAATGTATATACTTTGTTAAGGATTTCCTACTGGATTTTATGCTCACCCTACAGGATTTTTGTGCAGGAAAAGATGTGATGATGCCGCCTAACTAAAGGGGAGGAAATGTGAGTTGAGAGTACGAGACTCTCATTTTGCTGTAACTCTATGTGTAAGCCAAGGGTTGTATGTGTGTGGGTTTGAATAATCGTTTTGTGTAACCAGACTCAATCCTTGGAAACTTGTAAACCCTTGGGGGTATTTACTTGTTGTTGGATTAATGTATTGTTGCATGAAGAACTATTGTATCATGTAATGTAAGTTTGGAGATTTATATTCGGTTTTCCTTGAAAGAGCCATGATTGTTGTATTATCATTTGGGCTAAAAATTTGGGGCGTTACAGCTAAGTTGAGGATGCTAAGGTGGATGTATGGCAAGACTAGAAAAGACATAGTTAGGAATGAGTACATTCGAGAATGGGTAGGAGTAGTACCGATAAAAGATAAGTTGAGAAAGAATAGATTGAGATGTTTTGGTCATATACAACGGAGACCAACAGAGGCAGTAATAAAGAGATGTGATACAATGACGATAGATGGTAGTGTTAGGGGAAGGGATAGACTTAGATTGACGTGGACTAGTGTAGTAAATAGAGATATGAATCTCCTTAATGTGATTAACGAAATGGACTTAAATAAAGTCGAGTGAAAAAGAAAGATTCATGCAGCCGATCCAATTTTATGGGACTTAAAGCTTGGTTTGGTTTGGTTATAGAAAAGTAGTTAGAAATTTTTCTATTAATTGTGTTAAATAAAAAATTCTAATAAGGGGGTATTTGTATTTTTCAAAATCACAGGAGGCAATCCGTATTTTAAACAAACCTCAGAGGGTGTATTTGTAATTTGTCCTTGATTTTTTGTTATCAAAATAACATATATGTTGTTATAATTGGAGTTCAATTAATCAGTAATTACAACTATATTGTGTGAAGATTAAATGAGTGAACATTAATTTGGCACAAATAAATTAGGTTAAATTAAATTTTAAAATACATCTAATCACAAGCCGTTAAATCAAAGTTCAACAAATAAATCAGGTTTTAAAGGCAAAATTCCCAAAATGTACTACGTTTCCCTCAAGATTATCATTGAGTCCTATCAAATTTCAATGTAGAGAACCGTGTTCTATTCTCATTAACTTATTCCAAAAAAGTTCAAATCTTCATAATGGGTGTCCGACAAAGGTATTTGATTTATTTTGAAGAGTCATGTAAGATAGCATAAAATTCATTATTTTCTATCGTCCCACACTGTGAGAAGTATATTCGGCAAACAACCCAAAAAGGCTTTAATTTTATTAATATTCCATCAAAAGAAGAACAATGTGAAAATGACATTGTGGTAAATCCATGCATTTATAAAAGTGTGCAAGGATAGAAAATGATGAATCTTATGGCAAAACTTTTTTGATAAGATTGTTTATGCTTTTGATTTTTAGAATTTCCATAATTTATACGATTCAAAAAATAGTTTTAATATACATTAAAATTAATTATAGAAGCATAATTCACATTTTAATGAGAAGTGGTAAAATTGGAATAGAATAATTAAGGAAATTTTATTTTTTTTATTTTTTATTTTTTATTTTTTTTTTTGGGGCAAGTAAGATTCATTGTCATATTTTATTATTCATAATGTAACCAACTACAGTTTGTGATGCTGCAACCACAACTCTCGTTTCAATGATCTAAACCGTTCACTTTTTACAGCCCCCTGTGTACATAATTCATGAAAAAAATTGATTGATTTAATAATTGTAGCCTTTTCATTTTACTGCATTTATACCCAAAAAGTGGATAGTCTATTTTCAAAAACATACTTATCTTCTTTTGTTTCAAAGATAAATTCAATTTGAAATGAAAAGGTTACGATTATCGAGTCAACCTAAATTTTCCATGGATAATATACATTGAAAATCCTATAAAATGAATAGCTCAAATCATCAAACGAAACTCATGGTGGGCTCCACAGGCCACTCAAGTTCTTTCAAGTTTAGGCTTGAACTTGAGCCCAATCCTTTTTATAACAAGTTATCAAGAATAGGACTTTTAATTGTCTACATTGAAATTTGATAAGACTCACTAGTAATAATCAAGGAAAAGTGATACTAATTTATAATTTTCCCAAGTTCAAAACCCTGTTGTTGGGGAACAGAAAGGAATTGGCTGAAGAAATAAGGTTTAATAATTATTTGATAATATTTTACACTTTGAGATTTATTTTATTTTTGGTAACTTCTAATTTATCTAGAGTTTCCGATGATGCCTACATACATGGCTGTGTAATAGTTTTGAGGCTAGACTATGATTTTAAATATTGATTATTGAAGTTTTAGATATTTGTTTTGGGATTGTGATCCCGGTTGATTTTTCTTGGTTCTTCTATTCTTCTTGTTCTTGGTGCAACATCACTTGCTTAATACAATGGAAAACTCAAATGGAAATGTTTCATGCATGTGTCGTCATGCCGATATGCATTATTACACTTAAGCTAAGAGTACAAATCAAAAAAATTATAAAGTAAGCTCAGGAAAAAAAAATTCTTAGAATTTATTTATTTTTAAATACGTGAAAGGATAGTAAATAACAACTCCGTAATGTTAGAAGTTTTCTTCATGGAATTCATCAATGAATGAAATTCAATAACTAGACTCACAAAGTTGCAAGTGAATATCTGCTTTGAAAAGATGACTCACCTCAAATCCATTAGGGAATATTGCACTTCCCAGACAATTCTTCTCCAACAATCCTTGTTTTCGGCTATCTAAAGGAACTGCACCATTATGGTTTCCAAATTTATGGATATTAAGGCAAAGATGAAATGCTCAGTAATACCATACAATTAAATGTGTGTATATCTAATACACATCTAAATAAAATAAAGACTCTCTAGACTACTCTTTACTCATAGACCCAGCAAATTAGTAAGAATAAGGGTAAGAACAAAAAACACTTAAATTCATCAATGTACCAAATGTCTCACTTTTTATTTTACTTTATTTATTAAGAAAGAAATTGTTAGTAATCACGAAAGGGATTTGGAAAAATAAAAATAAATCAGATGTCTGCTAAAATCAAGAGAATATAATAACAGTGCATAAGATTAGAGAGGCACAGCATTTTTTAACCAAAATAGACTAAACCTGCACATAAATTTCAAGTAAAGCAACTTACCATCAGATTTAGCTGCCAGGGTAACTTCAGATGTCTTTACACATGATACAACCATTCCTTCCTGCTTAATTGGATAAGAAACAAGCTTCCCACCAAATGTGAAGCCTTGGATGTGTGATTTACTTAAGTTGGGCCAGGTAGAATTATGCATGGCAACCATGCAAGGCCTCTCAAGTATGGACCGCACATGTGAGACAGTGCCTACAGAACCTAACATACAGTGACTAACATAACAGAATCAAGTTACAATTTAAGCTTTAATTGCAGTTGATAAGTTTGTTACAATGATTGAAAATAAATTTACACATAGATATATAGATGAATAGATAGCTAAGGAAACTCCTACATAGGGGGTTGCATAAAAAGATCAAATATTGAATACAAATGGATCGATGAGAAAACTCCTATCATATGGCATAAAAGGGTTGCATAAAAAGATCAAACACAGATGATATGATGGCAATAGTCCTTCAAATATAGCAGACGTAATTCACATATATGTCACAAATCAAAAGAACATAATGCTAAAAGACATAGTCATGGTCGGTAAAAGACCATCATCTCAGAGGTAAGAGTCAACGTATCAGATTCCCCACAGAAATACTCCATAGAATAATATGCCCACATACTCCAAGGCATAAAGAACCACTTCAATTACAGTATTTTGCCTACGCCAAGCACAATTTGCTCTATTTGAGCAAGACAAAAAACTAAAGCAAGAGAAGTACAATCAATAAATGCTACAAAGATGAATTACATAAAACTTACACGGCCACACAAAAGTTACATATGCATCTTAGTCAGCCTTAGTAGCCCCAAAGACTGGTTATAATTAAATAAATAGACAAAAAGAACACCTAAAGTGTTTTTTAGAATGACTAAAAGATAACCAATTGTTACAAATGGATTAAGCTGTTGTTTAGGGCGGGACTTAGATCTCCCTTTTAACATTGTATAGGCTCGCAACTGCATACATGATAGGCAGTGGCCAGTCATTACTTTTCCTAAAATGTATTTTGGGATGAGAATTTCTATCCCAAAAAAGATTTTTTTTTTTCTTTTTTTCTGGAAGATGCAGCATTCCACTCCCCAACAAACTTAATTACAAAGTCTGCATATTTAAATTGCATAAGTTAGCTCAAGAAATACACAAAGGACATGAGTTTAATATTACTGCCAGATCAGAAAGAGCAATCCAACCAACGCGAACCCAATTTCATTCGTTCCTAGACAGTACTACCATACTTAATAGACAAAATTATGAATGTTTTCATACAACATAAATCAAGGCATGATGAATCTGAATCATGAAGGTAATAAGCGAATTAACAAATGTTGAATTAAAGCAACATTGAAGACGCGATTCATAATTACAGAAAATTCAGATCAGGCTAAAAGCTAGGGATCGTACAACCGAACAACAAAAATTATTGCCAAAGTTCTACACATTGACATATCACACCGTACAAATATATAGATATAGATACAGGTCTATACATGGAGAGAGGGACTTACAGTGGAAGGAACGAAGAACAGCGGCGGACTCCATGGAAAAAGGACGGTAGGGAAAACAAAATGCAGGAGGTGGAAAATCTCTCTCTCTCTCTCTCTGAGAAATGGAACGAGAAATGAAGTCAGGTTGGGAGAGAGAACAATTTAAAGGAGGAAATTTTGAAGAAACCGAGAGAGTTTGGTTATGCACAGTCGTGAGTGGGGTGTATGCATGTATATGTGACGTTATTGAAAACTCCGTCCCCTCTTAGTCAGTTTCTCCACCCTCTGCCACCGTTTCCAGCTCCGATCGTTACTATGCGCCGTTCAAACTACATTAGTTATTTTCATCTTTTTTTTAAGGATAAAAAATTGACAATTTGAGCCCTTTTGATTCCATCTCTATAAATTGATAACGGAAAAATATTTTATTTTTAAAATATGTGTTGTTCGTTATTTTAGTTTTTTAAATTTTAATTTTATTATTTTAGTTTTTTAAATTATTAATTTAAATTAGGGACCTTTTTCAGTAAATCCACTCTCTGAGAGTCCTATTCTATTAGACCCATAGTGTTTTGTAATATTCCATTAGGTCCTACAATATCTTCACTATTTCAAAAATCCAAAACCGAATTCCATATCATCTCAACGCCCAGAAGACTCTCCTTATTGCATCATCGCATCGTCTTCTTCGTCATCCTTACGCCGTCAGTCGTTGAAATCATGAAAATCACCATTGTTGAACATTTGTAAGTTCTATCTTCGTCAAAATCACCATCGACGACCATTTGCGACAACGCAATCATCGAAATGGGCAAAAAATGTAAGTAATCTAATCATTCTTGTATTGCAAACCCTAAATCTCTTCTTCAACAAACAACATTGTGAACTTTCACCAACATCCCCTGTTTCTATTCATACAATATATGGATCTTCATATTGTTATTGTTCATACCCTAATCGTTAATTTGAACCCTTAATCTCTATCCCCAATTATATGGGTTTTTTCACCCAAAAACATTACAGTTGCCATTATGTTGTGTTTAAATTTGTGAACATTCAAATGGATTGAAAGATGTTGGGCCAATCAAATTATTTCAGATGTTATCGCTATTGTTGTTGAAAGATGTGAATATTCACATGAAATTGAAAATTGTTGGGCAAGAAAATTGTTTTAGTTGTTGTTGTTAAAAGATATGAACATTCACATGGATTGAAACCAGATGTTATTGTTGTTGTTGTTGAAAGATGTGAACATTCACATAGAATTGAAAATTGTTGGGCAAGCAAATTGTTTCAGTTGTTGTTGTTGAAAGATGTGAACATTCATATGGATTGAAAAATGTTGGGCCAATCAGATTATTTCAGATGTTATTGTTGTTGTTGAAAGATGTAAACATTCACATGAAATTGAAAATTGTTGGACACACAAATAATTTCAGTTGTTGTTGTTGTTGTTGTTGAAAGATGTGAACATTTACATGGATTAAAAAATGTTGGGCCAATCAAATTGTTTCAGATGATATTGTTGTTGTTGTTGAAAGATGTGAACATTCACATGGATTGAAAATGTTTAGCCAATTAAATTGTTGTTGTTAACCATAGTGAACATTCACATGAAAACAAAGAATCATGGTCCAATTCCTTGTATCAGATGTTGTTGTGATATATAATTATGTTGTGAACATTCACAACATATGTAAATTAATTAGACACTTTATGAACATTCACCACTATATTTAGAAGAAATATATCACTTTTGTTATCCCATGTTTGAAACCATATTTCAATTTTGAGGTTGTACTATAAAATTGACATAACATTATTGTAGTAAGTCTGTGCATTGTTAGCCAAATTAATACTGTGAATGTTCACAACATCCTTTAATCTATTTGGGTTAACATCCAAATGTTCTTGAATGTTATTCATCAATATATAAACATACATTGATTTTTACATACACACACACTATGCACATTGTGTTTTTGTTGACACAGTGAACGTCCACATCCATGGACAGATGTGGATATTCGTATTTATGCACACAACTGTAGATATTCACACCCATGCACACAACTGTGAACATTCACATCTATGCCAATGTTGTGAATGTTTACATTTGTGCCACTATTTTAATCACATAAGTCTTGTCTTAATTTTTTTTATGCTTTATTTTGCAAATATTGCACAAAAGAAAACCTTAAAGCGAAAAAGAGATAAGTACCACGTCAAAGAAGAAAGCCCATATGCAAATACTTGCAACAATGTTGACATGCAGCGGGTCGACCCAACGTTTGTGTCTTTTCGTTCTCCAACCATTCCACCGTTATCGAAGCGTTGTCGGCTACTGGAACCATACTCCAACGAAGAAGAAACAATGATGTGAACAATTCTATATATCAGCGTGTATCAACTCAACATGGAGACCAAATGTAAGAATCTTTTTTTCCTTTTTTTTGTGTAATCAAATTACATTTTTTTTGTCCTAATGCAAACTTTCTCACATGTTGCCATTATTATTTTTGGTCCTTGTTGTTCATGATTTTGCTGTTATTTTCCATCTTTTTGTTGTTGTTGGTATTGTTGAAATTATGTAAACTCCCAAATTTGTTGCTTTCCTAGAAAACAAAAAATTGTCGTTGTTTCGGATATTGTTGTTGTTGTTGTTGGCATGATGTCAATATTTACATGGGGACATGTCCTGAATAAATTTGTTACATGATTGTGAACATTGTGTCAAGCAAATCTCCAAATAAAAACGTTTCTTCTACTTGTAGTTCGATTTTGACGTGAACCTTGACATTGTGAGCATTAATGTTGTTCATATTTGTCCACTTATTATTCACATCACAGTTGTTTACAGTGAAAATATGTGGTTTGTAGGTAATGAATAGGTGATGCTGTCATGTTGTTTGGTTGTTTATACCCACTATGAATATTCACATTGGTACTATTTGCTTATAAATGTGTACATATAATCATTGTCTTACTGTGAATTGTTGTAACCAAATGTTGATGTGAACTTTAACATTCTTTTCTATACACATAGACATACCTAATATTATATGGATGTGTAAATATTAACATTCGGTGTGACCACTACTATTTGTACCCTAGTAATAATGTGAATATTCACATCTCCAATGATGTGAATGTTCACATTGCTATGTTTGTCACTTAAATAGCACTTTGTTGCTTTTGCTTATATGAATATCGTTGAATGTGAACATCCACATTGATTAATGATGTGCTGATGTCAACATACATGCCTGCCTTACCAATTCTATTGAAATCAAATTTAATGTTCATACAAACACTCACTATTTGTGCATGCCCATGTAACAGATGTTGCATCTAAATTTTGCACAAAAAAGAAGAGGAAGGAATATCATGTCAAAGAAGAGAGCATGCCTTTAAAGAGCAACACCCACATCGACATGTGACATGTCAATTATCGATCAAACATTACAGGCTTAGTAAAACCGATAAGAAGCACCAAGTTCTCAGATTTTCAGCTGGATTACTTGAGGCAAACTTCGTTGTTCGATAGTTGGGGTTGTCCACTATTCACTAGTTATACCAAAATATAGTGCTAGTTTTTTTTTTTTTTTTTGTAACTTTGATAACTTGCAGTTGAAAAAACTTGACAACATATATATAAATCAATGATATACTGCTCACATACCTATGTGTTTTGATGGTATATTTGGTGTTAATGTGTTGTGTGTGCTAAACAATATGGACTGTGAACATTCACATCTATTTTCTTATGTTGCAGTTTGTGTGAATGTTTACATCTTAATTTATGTTCAATAAATGTGAATGTTCAAATTATGTCTTATGTTTATTGTGGTTGACTACAGATGTTAATATTCACATTATACATTAATTAGATATATGATCATATTAGAATAAACGTGAATGTTCACATTTATTTATTGCATTGTGAATATTCACATCAAACTGTGGTTGACTACAAATGTTAATATTCACATTATACATTAATTAGGTGTACGACCCATGATTATAGATAATGTGAATATTAACACTGATTAATAAAACAAATGACAAATTTCTATTATAGATAATGTGAATATTAACACTGATTAATAAAACAAATGACAAATTTCTATTATAGATAATGTGAATATTAACACTGATTAATAAAACAAATGACAAATTTCTATTATAGATAATGTGAATATTAACACTGATTAATAAAACAAATGACAAATTTCTATTATAGATAATGTGAATATTAACACTGATTAATAAAACAAATGACAAATTTCTATTATAGATAATGTGAATATTAACACTGATTAATAAAACAAATGACAAATTTCTATTATAGATAATGTGAATATTAACACTGATTAATAAAACAAATGACAAATTTCTATTATAGATAATGTGAATATTAACACTGATTAATAAAACAAATGACAAATTTCTATTATAGATAATGTGAATATTAACACTGATTAATAAAACAAATGACAAATTTCTATTATAGATAATGTGAATATTAACACTGATTAATAAAACAAATGACAAATTTCTATTATAGATAATGTGAATATTAACACTGATTAATAAAACAAATGACAAATTTCTATTATAGATAATGTGAATATTAACACTGATTAATAAAACAAATGACAAATTTCTATTATAGATAATGTGAATATTAACACTGATTAATAAAACAAATGACAAATTTCTATTATAGATAATGTGAATATTAACACTGATTAATAAAACAAATGACAAATTTCTATTATAGATAATGTGAATATTAACACTGATTAATAAAACAAATGACAAATTTCTATTATAGATAATGTGAATATTAACACTGATTAATAAAACAAATGACAAATTTCTATTATAGATAATGTGAATATTAACACTGATTAATAATGAGGTTAACAAAAAAATCAAAATAACTGTATATGTAACTTTTCACCAATGATCCACCACAATCAATTTGTTCAAACAACTGTATATGCATCTCTGTTAAATATCCAAAACTCAAACAACAAAAATATACATGCATTACTAGTAAAAAAATCAGAACCTCATTCATCAAACATGCACTTGCATTACCCATGTATTCTAGAAAATGCACATGAATAAAAAACAGAGCATGCAATCCTTCACATAAATGAATATGCATTCATAAACAAAATGATACTAACCTTGAGAAAGAAATTTTGTAATCGTTCT